TACTGCTTAAAATTCCTTGTAAACCATTTACACTCATTTTAAGAAGTTGATGACAGGTTGACAATTTAAGTGAGTTAATATTAATTTTCATCCTTGAACAAACTTAATGTTCCATATTCACCTTTTTAATTCTTCTTTAAAGATTTCTAAGTTACTCTTCTTCTTTTCCTTCTCTTTGGCTTTTTTCTTTAATTCCTGAAAGAAATTAGAGAACCTTTAACTTTGTTGTACCTGGCAACAGTGAGTCCATTGTGGGGTATGACAAAACACTCGATGACTGTTGCTACAGCTACAGGACACCTGTAGCTTGTTTTGTTTCCTCATGGAAAAGCGACTGAGGATATAAAACTAGCCATTCACATGTACCTCAGTGCCAGCTAGTGAAATAATTAGCAGCTGATGTCAACAAGATCACTACACGAAGAGCAAAGGGCACCCTACTCGCATTGAGAAAGCCCACAGTTATGGAGTGGAGCTAAAGCACACACCAACCTGTTAACTTGCTGTAATCTCTGTGACCTATTGCATAGCTATAACTTACAGATGTTAAGTCCTGTAAAATGCACTGATGTGTTTACACAGCCTCGTGCAAAATATGCCAGTTATAATGATCAACAGTTTATAAAATCAAGTACACACCAACTTGGGTGGAGCCAGTTCAGTCTTAATTTTCTGTTCCATAACAGTAGCAGACAGCTTTGCCATTGGCTTGTACAATGCTCCAGCTTGCGCTGAAGCAGTTTCCTCTGCAAAGACATTACACGACAAAACCTTGTCAACATGGTTGAGATCTTTTGATAAAGCATCAAAGGCATTACAAATAATCAATAACAATAAATTATTATTGAAATATCATGTGGCATAACTGGGTTTTATGGGTTTTAACTTTTATGATTTTGCAGTTTTCTCCACAAATATCTGCAAAAAAGTTCCCACAAAAAAAGGTCCTGCAAAACTTTACTCCACTGGTAAAATTAAACATACAAAGATCACATGTAGAATGTTGTTGGCGGCATTTATTTAAAACATCTCTTTCATTCAGAAACAAAACAATGAAATTAGGAACAAAATGTTCAGAAACAAAACAATGAAATTACCCTTGGTACACTACAGGTGTGCTGTAGTTGCTAAAAAGTTTACAGAAAAGGATTGTCTGATGGTCTTGTCAGCCACACTAGGGCAAGATGTACAACAGTGACACTGATTACCATTTTTTACATCTCTGTATGTTGTTTTCACTTGTCTGTTGCATGTAGTTTAATACAAAAATGAAAATGTTGTACCTCAATTAAAAGCTACTTCTGAAAATTGCAAAAATTAATACCCAGCAAGAAAAACCAGTCGTTCACAATCGCAAAATTACATGTAGTTCCAACAAAATACAAACAATCACCGAGCCGTGAAATAAATTCTTGCAAAAATTCCATGCCACACAGTAAGATGACATAGTGAGTTTTTAACTGAGTTTCCTTCTCACCCAAAAATTTACCTTGGGGATATATCTTAATAAAACAGGTTATACATCAAAATATAACATATGCAAGGTGTGTAAAACAACAAATTTGCTACAAAACATTGACCATTTCATAAACTGATTTTACATGACAGTTGATTCTGTATTAAAAAAAACTTCCAATACTATTACTGTACCTTTTGTTTCAGGGTTGATCGTGTTACCACGTACAAAAGTTTTACCAGCCACTCGGGAATCTTCAAATGATGCCACAAAATCTGCAAACACTTCTGCACACTCTGATTCTGCTTTCTAAATACACACACAAGGGCAAATTGTTATCAGTCATGTTAAAAGCCCCACTAATTGAGGGTTATCAAGAGTCATGTTATGATGCGACTACTCGAACCAGGTCACCTAGAGGAAAACTAACCAATCAAAATGTAAACTTAGAGCAATGTATTGGTAGCTTTCTCGTGTCGGCAAGTAATAAAGGTCTGTTTGACATGAATACAGAAATACTATCGACTCCTATGTGATATAGACACTTTAAGAGATTCAGTCCTTGACAGCGAATTATCATTGTAAATCTAGCTCGAAAAATTTAGGTTGGAAACTCATTTTGCTACTAAACCGAAACCATTGAAAACTGTACCAAGTTTAGAATGAAAACTAACCAATCAACAATTCGCAAATTTTCCTGAGAGGTTTGCAACACTTCACACTTTGTTGGGTTTTCAATTTTGTTAAGAACTATTGTTTGTATTCTTCAATGTCATTGGTTCATTTGAGGAAAAGATTGCTATCCTTTGTTCTCAAGTAACATACTAATTGATTAACTCTTTTCCAAGTGGATCAGTTCAGGTAGTCACACTGTAAACATAATCACAGCATCTACAGATTAGGTGTTCTACAGATCTCTTCCTTCTGTACCTGCTATACATGTAAATTTTAACTGATGTCAAAGGGTATACTGTCATTTTATTTCTAGCCTCCTACACACTGTTATTTTGGTTATCGTGCAGTGCTTCTTCCCATTAACAGCAGCCACATTCTAATCTGCAGGTTAGTCAGTCATAACTTCCCTCGCATGATCTTGAGCCAGTCATGCTAAAATTTGCTGACTACACCAATCAAAAGCTGTGTCTTGTTATGACTCTTGGGCCAGCAATGTCAAAGGGCTCTCAACATGTCACCTTCATTTTGTCATGATCTTGAAAGGCTATTTGCCCTTGGCTCATGATAACCAGTGTTTTCTTCAAATATCTTGTTGGCTGTACTGAGTAATGCATGGTCCATTTTCTCACGCTAACTTTAGAGCTTTGATTAACGTTTCCCAATACTTTTTCCCAATCTCTGACCGAAAAGGTCGGCCTTACATTTTCGGCTAAGTATTCTCTCTAGTTCATATGGTTGAACTTAAAATACTTCCTCAATGGCTCGATAAAAAGAGCTCTCTATATCAAGCTCATCAATCTTACTTTTTCTTTTTCGTAGCTATAGCTAACTATTTGTTAACACTACTAGATCTTAGATCTCATGATCGGGAAAATTACGACAGTACAGTGGCATCCAATTGATACCTTTTTCTTCTCCTCAGCATCCTGCTTTGATTTAACGGGTTTCTTCAGTCCAGCGTTCATCATGCCGATAGAAAAAGACTTCAACTTGCTCTGTGAGATCGTCTGCAGGAAACATGGTGAAGCAATGAACTTGATTTCAGCGCGTGAAACAACGAAACTCGAGAGGTAAAGTGAACATTTTTGGGCAAAAGTTGCTTACTAAAATATCGGGAACTTGCTTACCTTCATCGATCCAGGAGCTAACCCTTCTGGGGACAAGCCCCAAGGAAGACTTTTGTCTGGATCTAGCTTCTTCGCCGCCATTACATCTTGGTGAGCGTACTACCCAGGATCCTTTGTTCTGAAACGGCACTACGCATGCCTATGTCAATCACCATAACTAAGTCAATTATATACTAAAAATTTTCCTCCCAATTCGAGTCAGCCCGGCTAGCTCAGTCGGTAGAGCATGAGACTCTTAATCTCAGGGTCGTGGGTTCGAGCCCCACGTTGGGCGACATAATATTTTTGCTTCTTTTTTTCACTGCCATTTTTTGGGTCGCATGTACTTATTTAAAAATTATACACGCCGAATAGCAAAGGAAAAAATTTTAAAGATATTATCAAAACTCACTTTCTTTTTTAACTAATATGCGATTTTCGGACCTGTTTGGCCCGTCTATTGGAATTTGGGCAAGGGGAAGGCGGACTGGGATCCGCGATCAGCGTTTGAAGGTTAATATAAAAGTCTCACTTCGTGAAAATTATATAAAAGAATTATCCTTGGTACAGTCCCGGACTCCCGGATACAGTGGATACTGAAAGCGGTCGTTCGAGGGTGATTTTTTTCTCATGTATGTCAACCCCGAGGGTTGGAGCATTTGATCGCGTACTGAAAGTAAGCTTTAGAACACACTTTTTACCCCGAGGGATGGGGATTCATAGTTTAAAATGCTCCAGGAGGGAGACTGTCCAGGGGATCGCACGGGGGAGATGTGAAACATTAATTTGCGATTGAAATCCCGCATTTTTTGGTGATATTCCATGTAGGCTTGAATCTTTCTGAAAAACGACGAATATTCCTTTACAGACAGTTTCCCCAAAAAATCACCTTTACATACTCAGAAATAAACAACAGGTATCAGAGGAGGTTAAGTATATAACAACTGGTAACATATATAAACAACTACTTTGTAATGCTACGATAAGCGACATGAGCGACCCCAACAGCTCTGGGATTTTTTTTTAAACAAAACAAAACAAGAAATCACGTGTTGAATAAGCATACCTAAATTACAGAGAGAAATAGTTGCAAATTTAAAATTTGATTCTGTAGATATAATTAAATGCAAAATTTTGAAAAATATAACATCCCTACCACTTCCGCTGCATGAAAAAAATCTTTCTAAAAAGTAGTTCAGTGTGGCACGAAACTTTTGCAGATCGGCGATTTTTTGTAATTTACGGGAACTAATTTTTGCGATTGTAAAAGACTGGTTTTTCTTGCCGGTTATTACTTTTTTCAATTTTCAAGGATTACCTCCTAAGCGTTTAGCCTCCAACCAGAACCTGGAAGTTGTTCATGATTAGCCCCCAATTACATGTAACCAGAAGTCTATTTCACTGTCTATTTCTCGTTCTTGTAAGAACATGCTGGCTGATAGACTTCTGGTTGCGGGCTAACCTGCTAGGGGCGAATCGACTTGGTGGCTAAACGACCGGTATAAACCTTTTCGGAAAGTTGCGTTTAATTGTAATCTGTTGTTGTTTTTTTAATTAAACTACATCAACTGAAACCTGAACATGCAGATTGCAGAGATGTAAAACATGGTAATCAGCATCAATCCGGTGGAGTAAAGTTTTGCGGATAAAATTGTTGCGGGAATATATTTTTGCGGGAACTTATTTTTGCGGATCATGCAAAAACGGCAAAAAATCGCAAAACCCGCAAAAATTTCGAGTACGGTCTGTGATGTCACATCCGGTTGAGTACATCAAGGCCAATCTAATGGCAGATCACGTGTCCAGACGCATGATATCTTCGAAAATATGGCGGGTGATTATACATGGCGGGTATTGTTTCAAGCAAGATAAGGTATTTTGGCGTTTTTCTCTTTTTATTTGCTCTTCTGTGGCATGTTCTTTTATTATCGTACGTAAGATTTGCTCATTCAAATTGAAAAGCAACTTGCAGAAGTTAATGCAAGTGGAAGGAAGTGGTTTTAGAAGGTGAATTTGAGCACATGGCCATAACAGTAATAAATTATGACTTTATTTGGGCTTCAATACCAGTCAGTACATAGTCTAAGCTGTTAAATCACCAGGTTGGCCTTCATAACAATTAGTGTCCAAGAACAAATAGCTGTGCATATTTTTGAACCCAGCTGCTTGAAACTATATTGCAACGCTTTCATTTAATTGACGTTTTTAGGACTTCTTTAGGCAGGAGCTCATTACTGGTTTCCACAGTGGGCGAAACTTTTTGAAATGATCTTCATACCTTCATACAGAAAACTTTCCTCTAGATTGTCAAACCTAGGCAGGCAAAACCATTCTCAATTTGATAGTGCCTGGCCCTTCATGAAACTCTCTGCGAATTGTTGATGTTAACCCTCTAAATTATCAAAATGATTAGAAATCCCTGAATTCCGGTCCAGTTTTAGTGCTTCATTGTATTATTAATATATGGCTACTTCCCTGAGTAGGCAAGTTTAACCAAATCCTGTGCTGTGATTAGCTATCCCAGCAGGCAGGATGGCGCTCTCTTGCCACTCGGGGTTATGCGTTATGGCCCATAAAAGAATTCCTATATTGACCAGGCTTGTGTGGTCAAGATGGCTGAATATTGGCCTTGTTCTTTTTTTGCGTGTTGATGGACCTTGACTCTTTTTGGTCCATAAACATGCAAAAACAAAACTTGGCCAATATCCAGCCATCTTGACCCCACTCTTGGTCAGCAACTCATATGTTATTGGACTGGGTGGAGCACAATAATTATTCAGGGTGTAATCGCATGAGTAATGTCAAATCAACTAAACATGCAGATCAGGGCCGATTACTAATAATCCCAATGATAACCAACTTCAAGATTAAAAAAGTCTTTAAAGAACTTCTTTTGAGCAAAGAATTCAGGAGTGTTTTCCATAAGTTATAAACACTGAAGAAAACATTAAGAAGAAAGCTAGGGAAGTGCAATTAAGTGATGTTTGAAGGGCATTGGTATCCAATTACAAAGTTTAGTTGTGACTGGATACCTGCAATATTTTAATTGGACATCCAAGTGACTGCACGATGAATGATCAATTTTGTTATAGCTAGGATTATCAAAATAATTTCTGAATTCTGATTGGTCAATGACATATGCACATTCAGGGTACAGAGTACAAAACTGAGTAACTGTAGAGTACAACATGATAGTTCATAGAGTCACTCAGACATAAATTTAATTATAAAATATAATGTAGAATGAATGTATGTAATATAGTTACTTTAAGAGCCACCTGGTACATGTAAAATTTTTGTTCCCACAGAATGAAACACATCAAAGTGAAAGGAGCCTAGTTTTTCAAGACGGCACATGATAATATCAACATGGAAACTATGATTAGTAGGTAAGTGATAACAGTACAGTGAAACCTGTATTTAGCGGACCCCATATTAAGCGAACACCCTCTATTAAGAGGACAACAAGCTGAGTCCCTAAAATTTCTTCCCACCTTTACTGGATTCAACAAACCTGCATTCGGTGCACACCTCTGTTAACCAATTGACCCCTGGAGATTTTCAACAAAAAAAGCATTTTTGGACATGTTGGACATAATCTGCATGGATATCGGCTAAAGTAGCTCCAATCTACCCAAAAGGGCATTTTCAACAAGACAGCAGCCTTTCTTTCCCGCACTAGCATTGCTTTTTATGACATTTTTGCTTGGGCATGCGCAGAAATCAAAATTTTGAACTAGAAAACGGTACAAATGATGCCAATTTTGGTCAAAGGTGATGATGCACTCAGAAGTGGAACAAAAGCCAACGCTCATCACGGGTGGCTACAGGCAGCACAGGCATCAATGGGTTAAGCAGATACGGACACAAATAGCCATTGTATCACACAAAACCTGCAATAAGCAGACACTTCAAGGGATTTTTCCTTCTTAAAGCTCAGCTCGGACTCCTTTACAGTGTTCCAGATAAGTGAGGAGTCTCCAGTCAAAAATCAGATAAGGTCAGCTACATGACCCAACAAATTAATAGAAAAATGATAATGATTTGGTGGGAGCAGTGGGAATTGGCCTGTTGGTATTCCTTATTGACACTCTGCCTTGTAAACATATCTGGAACCCTGCTTTAATGTTGTCCTGGGATACCGTTTTAAAGCTGAGTAGCTTAATTTCAAAAGGGTTAATAATTAACTACTATTGCACATTTCAAAATATATGAGAACCTGTTTAGAGCAGACACCCTGTATTAAGCGGACAGTAGTGAGTGTCCCAACAGGCAAGTTCACTTGTAACATCAAGGTCCCATCAATCATACCCAGCCACCTCAGCCATAACAGGTGTTACAGGTTATGGCAGCCCTGACAAATTTGGTTTTACAACTTTCACAGTATTTTCTTTCTTGACTAGTGAAATGGTGGCCAACACAGGTTTTGGAGTAGACAGATACACTGTAGTTCATGATGTTGCCCAATTCTTTTAAAAGACCTGAGTCCTATCCGGATCATGTTTACTTAAGGCATCTGTCGACCGAGTATTGGTCGATACTATCGGCTGATATGTTGGCTGACAGTTGGCTGACATATCAACTGACATCGACTGACACGCATGTCAGCCAAGAGTGGGCTGATACTTCACTGCTACTTGGCCGAAACTTTACCGACACTTGGCCAACACTACACTCATTTGGTCAGCTCTTGTTACTGACTTCAAGCTTCTCTACTCAAATATTAGCTAATCTTTTCTAGCCCTTTGAGAGGGTCTTTTGGTAGCGGTCTTTCGGTGGCGGTCATCCGCTTTTGGCTTTTCATGCCGGCAACATTCATCTGTGTCAAAGACTGTGTTTATTCCTCGTCACCACTTTATATATGACCCTCGTTACTTTTGGAAATAGGAGCCTCCGGGGCTAGTTGCTTTCAGAGGGTCATTACTTTTGGAGAGCAAAAAATGATATAAAAAGTTGGTACTACTCTCTTCCTGCCACATGATGAGTTGTTTATTTCTAGATCCTGTGATATTTCACAATGCTTTGTGGCATAAGCAATACCTTCCCTTGTTGCAGAGTGCCTTAATTCAAGTTATCATACATAACTTTCACCTGACTATTGATCAGTGGAAAATAAAATTTTAATATGCTATTGAACCTGGGTCTCACTATTTTTGGTGAGATGGGGTTGTTGAGGGTGGGCTAGCTACTTTCGGAGGGCTTGTTACCTTCAAGGGGTCGCTACTATCTGGATTTAATAGCGGGCCACAATTTTTTGATGTTATTTCCGGGGAGTCACTTTCAAGGGGTCTTTTGGAAGTTTATGGTAGGTGTTTAGCAGTTGTTACTTCAGCTGTCAACTGCTATTGATTTTTCAGCATTGAGTTGAGCGAGCAAATAGAGATGTTATTGTTTCACAGTTTAGCTATTGCACCACGTTGTGTTCTTGGACATGACATGTTACTCTCACAGTGCGTCCCTCCCTCCACCCAGATATACAAATAAGAATTGGGTGAATTTCATAGTGGGGCTAACCTTGCAACAGACTAGCATCCCATTTAAAGGGGGGAGGGGGAGTAGAAAGACGCCTTATCAATTGCCACAGAAACTGGGATAAGTTTGGATCACTTGGCCTGATGAAGACTTTACCTTACTTTGTCATTGAAACTCCCCCTGTAGGGTTGAAACTTTAAAAATCTGATGACTTATGAGATCAAGGAATTCCACAAAGGATAAAATGTTTTATTTTTTGTTTCTTACTAGATACAAAATAGAGGAGCAAGGAAAAGAACAGTTGAGACTCATTGGAGAAATCAATTTGAGACATTGGATCCCAAAGTAGGTCACAATCACGATTTTATTTATGTTTGGTATCATGTACTAGGAATAATTGTGGGTGTACAAAAAGACTAGAATGCCTGGGGTACTGTTGTTGAGGAGTATTGTTTT